CGTCTTGTACTTGGTGCACTTTTTTTCTCAATATTTTTCTTAGCTTATTAAAATTCCAAGCAAATATTCTTGCACAGCTAAGAACAAGATTTCAATAGATTTTTTTTTAAATGTAACACTGGACATAGAACCAAGATCATATCTCCAAGTGGACAACTCACTCATTTACCAAGGGTCTCAAATAGCCATGAAATGCTTGTCCGTTCATTCTACAAATATCTGCTAAACACATATCATGTCAATGTTGTAGTGGGTACTTGAACTCTATCTGTGAACAACTGAAAGATCTCTACTCTTTGTAAAGTTTTTCCCCCTTTCTTCCTTTCTTTTTAATTCTATGTGAGTCTGTAAGAGTTCATGTGTACTATCTGATGAAAGTTCAAGCAGAGGACATCAGACCACCAGCACCTGGAGTTACAGACATTCTAAAATCACTATGTGAGCACTGGGAACTTAAGGAAGGTCCTCTGCAAAAACAGGAAATACTCTTAATCACTGGACTATCTCTCTAGTCGCTGTTTTATCTTTGTTTAAGGTTTTATTATTTAGTGACGCTGTTGTCAAACTCTTACTCTTTCTGCCACACCCTCTTAAATGCTGGGGTTACAGAAGTGCAGGACTATGCCTGGCTCCTGATCCTTTGTTCTTGAGGGTTTGATTCTAGCGGGATGAAAGGAAGAGATATGTAGTAAAGAAAATAAATGAGGACTGGGATGGCAGCTCACTGGTGAAGAGTACTGGCTGTTCTTCCAAAGGACCTGGATTCGATTATGAGCACCCACATGGCAGCTCACAAGCATCTATCTGTAAATCTACTTCCCGTGGATTCAGTACCATTTTGGCCCCTGCAGGCACCAGGAATGCGCATATTGCCCAGATATACATGCATCCAAAACATTAGTAACACGTAAAATAAGAAAACAAGAGAAAATGTTGGAGTTGCTTAAGGGGGAATGGGAAGGAGGAGTAAGGAGTTCCTATGGGGAGCTAGAGAGAGGAATTTGGTTGCATATGATCAAGATGCATTGCTTACATGTATAAAATTGTCAAGGAATAAATAAAAGATATTCCATCAAAAAACAAAAACTAGCCAGATGGTGGTGTTGCACCCCTTTCATCCCAGCGCTGGGGAGATAGAAGCAGGTGAATCTCAGTGAGTTCGAGGCCAGCCTGGTGTACAGAGCAAGTCAGGCCAGCCTGGGCTCTATATGAGACGCTGTGAGGAGAGGGCTTACCTAGTACGCACAAAGCCCTGAGTTCACCAGCACATAAACTGGGCAGGGTGACACACACCTGCAATCCTGGCAACAGGGAGGTGGAGAAAGGAAGGATAAGTTCAAGGTTGGGCCTACAAGTCTGGTGATGCGAATTTCATTCTTGGAACCAATGGCAGAAGTAGAGAACTGCAGAATATGCCCTCTAACCTCCATACCATATGGTATACTCGGGCCTGTACTTACGCAGCTCTCTCTCTCTCTCTCTCTCTCTCTCTCTCTCTCTCTCTCTCTCGATATATATATATATCACACACACACACACACACACACATACACACACACGCGCGCGCGCTTTAATAATAATAAAAAAAAGCGAAAATAGTTCCAGCCATGGAATGAGTGTGGGATACATACAGCTCTGTCTTGAAGAATGAAAGGAGCTAGAGAGAGGAAGACATGGGTAAAGGGACCTGTAACCTGAGTTTGATCCATAGAATCCAAACGGTGGGGGAGGGGGAGTCAACTCTAGCAAGCTGTCCTCTGACCTCCACACATGTGACATGGCATGGGCTCCCATGAATACATTTAAAATTTGTAAAAGATGACTTCAAGGGATTTCCAAAACTAAGTTTGACATAGATTTTTCCCATAAATGAGCTATACCAGAGGAGAGGTTAGACATATATATAAACCAGCCATTTTGGCCATGAGTACTCTTGGTCCTTGTCTCTTCTCTTTTCTTCCTTTTTTGCTCCCTCCCCCCCCCCCCACTTAATGGCCCAGTTCATTCTTGACCCTCCCCGATGCCCGTGGCTGAACTCTTCCACACAGTTACAATAAAATCCTTCTCCTCAACCATACCTTGGGGAAGTCATGTTCTCATTTTCTTTCACTTACAATTGCTAAAATAAAATCGCTAAAATAGTACATTTGTGTACATTTTACAATAAAAACAATGTTAGCTGGCTGGGGGTAGTTGCTCAAGCTCATACTCTCAGCACTCAAGAGGCTGTGGCAGAGGATTGCCATAAGTTCCAGCCCAGCTTGGAACATGTAGACAGACAAGGCTATATAACAGCCTTGCCTCACAAAATAAAGCCAGATATGGTACAATCCCATAAACTCAATACTCAGAGGCAAGAAGATCAGGAATTCAAGGTCATCATCCCTGGCTACATAACAAGTCTGTAGCCAACATAAGATACATGAGACCTTGATTCGAAAAACCCAAGCAAAACAGTACTAGCTAGGTGATATTGCTGTTTTGTGCAATCCCAGCAGTTAGAAGGATGACACATAACGATCAGGGTGGCCTGGCTTACACAGTGACTTCTGAGACAGCCTGGGCTAAATATTTAGTGAGACCCTATCTCAAAAACCAAACTAACAAAAAGCCCAAAACAACAATAAAGATTCTATAAAACACTATGTTCAAAGAATAAAAGGGAACAAAAAATGAGAAAATATAATCTCCAGGTAAGGGAATTAGAGAAGGATCTGCTTTTGTTCTATTAGTTTCAATAAATGACTGGAAGTCAGGCAAACTGGCAAGAGCCAGGGTATGGTAAGAAGTTTTCTTAGAAGCCACTATACGTTGTCTTAGTGGAGAGTGAACTCAATGCTAAGGGGATTTATTCTTAACCTGAAGTCAGAATATAAAGATTTAACTCAGCTTTATACAAGCTAGACTGGGGGAAGAGGGGACAAGCCTAAGGCCAGAGAACTCAGACTGGGTGATGGTCAGGCAAATCTGGCTGCAGAAAGATCAAGGGTTGAATAACACAGACTAGCACAATTGACTTCAGCTTCTTTTCAAACGAGGTGATGGCAGACCAACTTACTATAAGACAAAGGAGGGTAGCTTGAATTTTGTTTGTTTGCTTTGTTTTGAGACAGGGTCCCAGGCATCTTAGGCTGCACTCAAACTTGCTACTGAGGATGACCTTGAACTCCTGACCCTTCTCTTGACGAATTTGAAGGTGGCTTGGTAAGACTCCCATCTACAGAAAAAAAGGGGAGGTTACTAATTTACAGACGTACATATTTTTCTCCCTGAGAAATGAGACAAATATTTGCTTGTAGTTTTGTTTTGTTGGCAGGGATGAGGTTTGAAATCCAGACCTTGCACATGCTAGACAAGTGCTCCAGTCTTTGCAATTCCTGTCATGGCAATAAGTCAGATGTAATTCTCAGTGCTGTAAGAGCACACCAGGGCCCAGGACACAGGTGGCTCAGTGGATAAAGGCATTGCCACCAAGCTTGAGAACCTGAATTCATCCCCGGAATCCACATGTTGGGAGAGAATGGGCTTCCCAGGTTGGACTCTGAGCTCACACAGTAAATCAAATGTAATATTTTAAAATAATAAAGATGGCATTAGAAGAAATATTATGTTAGCCGAAGTTTAAGGACAAAAAATGGTACCCATGAGCTTCTTTGAAATGCTATTCAGAATACATTTTACTATACTAGCCACTAAGAGCCTAAATTCACTTTTATCTGACAACCCTACAAGCATATTTGAATAACCTAGGGGCGGGGTCATCATTTTGTGTACAAAGACTTTTTGTGTTTCTTATCCAACTTCGTTCTATTATTTCTTTTTTTCTCTTCACAAAGCAAACATCTCTCACTCTTTGTCTCCCTTTCTTCTCATTCTTTTCATCTTTCTCTATTTGGAAACAACCGATTCTCCTCTCAGTTCTCTTTTTAAAGGTGAGTGATACTGGCCTAATTACCTTCTCTGGGTCTCAGTTTCCCCGGGACAGAGAGTTTAATAGGGGTGTCCTGCCTTTCAAAACAACAAAGCATCCGTTTTACACGTAGTAGAGTCCCTGGTGTTCGGTAATAATCCAGTTTGTTCTGACTCTTCTCCCTCGGTTTTTAATCCTCTTACCTGAATTCCCCTACTCCTCACCCTAAAGTCCAGATAAAGGCCTTGGGAAGAGAGAGAGAGAGAAAAAAAAAGTCCTGGATCCTAAAGGAGGAAGCGCTGGAGTTGGGGGCGGGGACTGCGAGGTGACCTGTGCGCATGTGCAGGCGCTGGGTCAGGCTCTGGCTCGGAGCTGGGGAGTGGGGGGGTCGGGCTGCATAATGAGGGGGCCTGGCTATTTTCTGGGTGCCCCCTTCCGGCTCCGAGAAGCGGCGGGCCGGTTTTGGTCCCCTGAGCGGTCGCCACGTTAATCGAGCCCCCCCCCCCCGGGCCCGAGCGGTAGGTTGGAAGATGGCGGAGCGGGAAAGAAGGAGGGGCTTTGTCGGGCGGGAGCCCAGCTCCCAGGGGGAGGTGGGAAGGACCTGGCCCGGGGCCAGTGGCTGGGCAGGCCCGGGAAGCTGGCGAACTCCACCAGCCGGAGGCTTTTTTCTTTTTCTTTCTTTCTTTTTTTTTTTTTTAAGCCCTGACTTGGACGCTCTTGGCTCCGGTCTCCGGCTTTTCTCAGAGCGGACCGTTCGGCCTGTGGCGGCCGAGGGGCTTCGGGGGGTGGGGGGGGGAGACACAGCGACTTCCGCTTCCTCCTAGGCCGCGGCCCGCCGCCCCGCGCAGTCGTGGTTTCCTGATCCGGCTCGGCCTGCCCCTCCTCCCGGACCCTCCCCTCGGGAACGGTCGCTCTCGGCGGTTTGGACGGGCTCACTTGGCGCGGTGGGTACGGCTGTCGTGGGTTTCCCGCCCTCCCCTCCCCTCCCTCTTCCCCCGCGTCCTCCCCGCCCTCCTCCTCTTCCCCCGCCCTTCCGCCTGGGCTAGCTCTGCCTAATTGGGCGGGAAGGCCGCGCCCGCCCGCGGGGAACGCTTGGACGGCGCTCCTTGTCCAAGCTTCCCGGGATTGCCCCCTGGAAGCCGTGGGTAGGGTGGCTGGCTCCAAGCCTTCCGGTCAGCCTCCTTAAACTTCGTGACACCTAAGGTAAATCTAGTTAAATTTTTTTTTTTTTTGTAAAAGATAACGATCAACCTGCCCCCCCTCCCATCTGATGCCTGTGGCATGTATGGATCAGGATAGTGTGTTTCCCGCAATGGTATGTGAAACCAAAATACTGAGGGCCAAAGAGCTTCCCGAGGAGGGAATAGCTGGTCATTCTTGCCCCCCCCCCTCCGGTCACTTCCCCAGCGTTATTTCTGAAAGACAAATGCCAAACTGACTTTCAGTTTCATTTTTTTTAACTCCACAGTTTACTTAAACTGTGGGGGGTAGTAGTCTTTTAAGGGAGGGGAGTGGTGTTGCTGAAACTAAGCAGTAGCTCTCTCCTCTGAAAAGCAAAGTGTTTAGTGGAAACTTTGGGAAGAACAAACCTGTCAGATTTTAATAATCTCCTACAATTATGTCACCACATCTATACCTTGATAATGAATGTAACTTTGGCTTCAAGTACAATTATAATAAAGTGACTACATCTATACCTGGATAAGGAATGGATCATGACATGTGTGCTTTGATAATGAACTAGTCATAGATATTTACTTTTGTAAGACGAGATTACTGAAGTATTTCTTTGTTGTTCTTCTCATTTTTCTCCTTAATACCTTTTTTTTTTTTTTCCTGTAGCCAGTTCAAGAGAACACTGTTAGAGCCGGCCATCTTAGAAGTAATTATGCCATTTTAGAGTTGGGAAGGATCTTAGTCCAGTCCTTGTGTTTTATAAAGCAGAAACTAATGCTCAAGGTTTCATGCCTTGCTCAAGGTTACAAGGCTAGTTAGATTAGAACTCGGGTTTTGTGGCTCCCTGACCACTTCACTCGTGTTGCTTCGTGTGATCTCTAAGCACAAAATCAAAGTATATTTTATTGATTCAACATTTCTATACAGCATACTACTACTTTGTACTGAACATGTATCTAAAGATTGTGCCTGGTATTGTTTTCCCCCATTACTTAACACTGGGGAACACCGTAGGCCAGACACAGCTATATCTAGAGACAGGGACATAAGTTTCTGTCTACTTGGGTTGGGTCACATGGATCCTTGAAAGATAAACAGGAAAAAAGTGGTTAACACTGGTTACTTCTGAAGAATAGGGCTGGAAAACTTTACACTTTGCTTTTCTCCTACACCTTCAATGTATGGATGTTTGAATGATTTACTATAAACAAGTTTTTATTTTATTAATAGGAAGTTTTATAAAGCACACATAAATGCATGTCAATGTAAGTATTTGGAATCGGTTTTTATTGCCTTATCTATTTATATATCATTGATTTGTGCTGTAAAGTCTTGTGGCTTATGTTGTATTAACAGAACAGGATTGCTTACTTGTTTCTATTTTGACTTTCATTTATTGTTTCCCTATTCCTGTGAAATGGTAAAAAGGTTAGTCTACCATGGTAGTTATCAAAAAGTGTAGCAAGCTGTAGAATTCAGATATCACATATTATACTTAGCTAAATCTGAATCAGGGTCTTTCTGGATTATATTTTGAAAAGGTTAAGCATGTACAAAATGTATTGGGATATGTGCTTGCTTACCATGTACAAGGCTCTGGGTTTGAATTTTTGAACATATCAAAGAAAAGGTTAAAAGTTGATCAGAGTACATTATATAATTTGTGGAAAATAACATAACCCATTGTTTTGTACAATGAATATATGTCAGTAAATAAGGGAGAAAGAATGCCAGACTTGGTGGCTTAATCCTAGTTCTTTGTATCAATGCAGGAGAACTGCAAATTCAAGTTCAGCCTGAACTACATAGTGAGACCCTGCTTCAAAAACAAAGTTGGATTGGAGAAATGGCTTAGTGTTTAAGCTCCCTGACTGTTCTTCCAGAGGACCTGGGTTCTATTCCCAGCATTCACATGGTAGCTCATAGCCAGCTGAAACTCCAATCCAGGGGGATTCAGCTCCCCCTTTTGTCCTCCATGGACACTGCATGTAAAACATCCATACTCGTAAAATACTAACATAAGCAGAGTCAGGGCTCAGACTTCTAATCTCTTCATTTTGTAGGAAGATGATCAAGAGTTCAAAGCCTGTTTGGACTACATCAAATTCTGTACAAACATATTCACAATCAATAAAATCTTTATATTGCATGGCATTATTTGATACTTAATTGTTTGCTTTTTATGCCATCTTTACCAGTTCTCATATACATTAAACAGTTTTTAAAATAGTAAATGTTTTGGATTGAGGATAAAAGCTTCAAAGTGTAGTCAGTCCCTAGAACTAATAAAAAGGGTGTTCTCTTGTTACAGATAGGCTAAGAGGAGCTAAAGATGAAAAAAATGAATTGCTCAGAGTTACATTGTTTGTTATTAGTAGACTTTGGACTGGGGTCTATGGTCTAGTCTAGATCACATGTAAATTTATTGCTTTCGTTCAACGAGGCCAACTTGTCAAGTATTATAATTAATGTGGCAGTTAATTTAGTATAGCACTTACAATTTTTTTATTTGGTTTTTCGAGAAGGGTTTCTCTGTGTAACAGCGCTGCCTGTCCTGGAAGTCATTCTGTAGTCCAAGCTGGCCTCAAATTTAGAGATCCTCTTGCCTCTGCCTCCTTCATACTGGAATTAAAGGCCGTGTGTCACCAATGACCAGCAGCACTTATAATTGTAATATATAAATGTTCCCTTAACTTTCATTGTGTGCATTAATGTATTTAGTAGATCCTCTGTATTTAATGATTGGAGACTCCTAATGTAACTTAATGAGATTTCCGTTTTTGCTTGGTTTAATAGTTAAATCTAGTAGCTAGTGCTAAGAGGATGGAAAAGGCTCTGTTTTGGAAAATAAACATTTATTGAGTACCTGGTATGTTCCAAAAAACTGCACGTTGTGTTAGGGGTTCTAAAGATGAGTAGATACCACAAACAGTAATACACATTTGTCATTTTTGAACTTGGGAAAGTACGGGTAACATGTTCTAGGACAGCCTGGGCTGCATGTTGAGATCACCCATCTCAAAAAGGCACTAAAAGATGAATATGGAAAAGTGCCCTTGTTATTTTGAGGCAGAGATTATGATAAGCTGTCAGTTTTTAAATTTTATATCTGGGGTAATCTGTTAATAGTATTATGTAACCTGTTAGCATTGTTTAAGGTCATTGCACATGTCCATTCCAGGAGACAAACAGTATTAGAAAATGAGAAATTAATACTAAACTTAAATAAGTATATGCAGTGGAAAATGCCCTGAATTTGGGGGGAGGGGGGCAGGAGTCTTGGCGTTCTATCTATTTAGCTTTGGTATTTCAACTCTTAGTATCTCCATGTTAATTTTTTTTACACAAAGATATGTTTATTCCATTTAAATTAAAACATAAAAAGGATGTTTGTAATATTTCAAATTAAAAGGGCATGTTCTATAAAATTTATGGAATTTGAGGTAGGACAGAAAACAGGACCCTTATTCAGTGCTTTCACATTCAGGATTTTGTTTTGATTCCTGTGTCAAAAAAAAAAAGGTCTTTCAAACAAACTATAGTTTTTATTTAGTTGTATGGATTTGAGCTCCTTGATTCCAAAGACTCGGATTCAATATATATATTGAAATATGTGTGCATATATATTTGTTTATTTTGTTTTTTTAAGACAGGGTTTCTCTATAGCTTTGGAGGCTGTCCTGGAACTTGTTCTGTAGACCAGGCTGGCCTCAAACTCACAGAGATCCGCCTGCCTCTGCCTCCTGAATGCTGGGTTTAAAGGCATGTGTCACCAACACCCAACCTCATTTATATTTTTATTACCTCATTTTATCATTATTTTCTTTCTTTTTTTTTTTTTTTTTGTGACAGGGTTTCTCTGTGTGGCTCTGGCTGCCCTGGAACTCATTTTGTAGACCAGGCTGGCCTTGAACTCACAGAGATTCACCTTCCTCTGCCTCCTGAGTGCTGGGATAAAAAGCATGCACCACCACCTGGCTCTTATTTTGTGTTTTAGGTTTTGTGGCAAGGTTTTGCTATGTAACCTGCGCTGGCACATTCATATAATGCCATCTACTCTGGAAGCTTAAGTAAGCAGAAGGATCTGGTTTTGGTTTTGTTTTCATTTTTAATTGATCTTTGCAGAAAGATCTCTTGAACTTGGGATTTTAAGAACAGCAGCCCAGGAACAGTGAGATCATGTCTTTTTTTTTTTTTCCCAGAAACAAGGTTTCTCTGTGTAACTTTGAAGTCTGTCCTGAAACTAATTCTGTAAAACAGTCTGCCTCTAACTCCTGCCTCTAACCGCCTGCCTATGTCTCCAGAGTGCTGGGACTAAAGGTCTGTGCTACCACCACTTGACTGACCTTGCCCCCCCTTTTTTGGGGTGGTTCAAGACAGGGTTTCTCTGTGTAGCTTTAGAGCCTATCTGACACTCTGTAAACCAGGCTGGCCTCTAACTCACAGAGGTCCTCTTGCCTCTGCCTCCCAAGTGCTGAAATTAAAGGCATGCACCACCACTGCCCAGTGGCTATGCCATTTTTTAAAGACTTATAATAATCGTTTACATTTTAAAGAGACAAAAAATATGGAAATGCAAACCTTAGTAACTTGTGATTCCTATTTTTCTTTCTTTTTTTTTTTTTTTTTTTTTTTTTTTTTTTTTTTTTTGAGATAGATAGGGCCCTGACATGTATCTTCAGGGTGACCTAGAACCCTCCCTTTTCCTTATTTAGGCTTCAATTTCCTGAGTGCTAGGATTATAGATGGATGCTCCCATACCCAGCTTTCTTTCATTTACTTTTATGTATTATTTGTTGTTGGTGGTGGTGGTGGTATTTTGAGATTTGGAGCCTCCCTGTGTACTCTTGGCTGACCTTAAACACACAGAAATCCTCCTGCCTCTGCTTCCTGAGTGCCAGGATTGCTCCCAGCTCCCTGGCATTTAATTTTGAGCCTCTTGTGTTACGTATTTGAAATTGAATTTTTTGAAAGTGTAAATGGTGGTTGCTGGCCTGTTTTGTTTTGTGTGGTAGGTGCAGAATAGG